GAAATTTGATTATGATCTAGTTTTGAGAGACGTTTCTTCAAAAGAAAGTTTTGGAAAACACGACTTATTCCGATTTTTGACGTTTTAATGACGTTTTAAAACGTCACCCGTCCCCAAAGGGTTAAGTGTTAAGTCATACTTAAGTTGTGCTTATTGAAACACACTTAGGACAAAACTTAACTTTGACTTAAGTGTCTCCTAACTTTTTCTTAGTTTTTCACTTAAGTCGTTGACTTAAGTCAAACTTAAGTTTTTTGATGAAACTGGCTCCAGACCCGAGGCAAAATTGTTCATTAGATCGAGTAACAATAAGCCACCTTAAAGTTAAACTTTCTACTTTCTTCTACAAATTTTGACCTTGACCCGTGCAGGTTACAGGTCAAGGTCTAGGTATCCTGTCCCTGTCATATCTGCTACCAAAAATAGTTCTCTGCAGGATAAGTCGTGATTTTTGGGGAAAATATTTAAAAGAGAACGCAATTAGACTGAAAAGAGAAAGTTTTGAATTTTTCGGAGAACTCAAATTAAGTGAGATAGAAAAGAGGACGCATTTTGAATTAAAAATATTTAACTTTTAGTATTTTCTCAATTACAAAACATATTACTATACGGTTTCTGTGGTGTAGTGGTACACTGAATGTCATGATATGCATATAGTGCTGATTCGATTCTAGTCAGAGGCCACTTACCTTTTTACTCTTCTTTGGTTTTCATTATGGTTATATTCTGGGCGAGTAGGTACAATACCAATGTTGTATTCATGTAAAACAAATTTATAATCATATGTATGTAAACATGTAAACATGCAGTACACCTCCTATATCCTGATCGGCACATAGAAAAAAATTAATATCCCGATCGAGATATAAAACACGAAATTTCGTCGTAAAAACGATTAAGGGGAAAATGACGACGTTTTGGGGAAAAATTGACTTCACCATTAGAAAGAGCTCGAAAAACTACATCGAATTTTGTTGTATTTGATTAAAAGTGCATCAAGCAGCCATCAACTATTTTTTCGAACAAAAACCTTTAACAAATTTTAGTCGAATTTATATCCCGATCGGGAAATAGGTGGTTAATCTTTTATTGCTCATAATGGGATATACTCTTGATCTAGTCGCTTTCCACATCGACCGTATATCAGTTGTGAAGGCAGCATTTCTGAAGATACCAATAAAACATAAACATTCCCGGCGTTGCGGCATTTATACTCATATTACCTGGCACGGCAACACTCCTTTCAAACTAATTAGATTTGGTGAGAAACATGTTAAAGTGGAAGTAAGAAATTACATTAACCAGCAAAAATTTTTAACCGTAATTATTCGTTTTATGTCACCTGTGTATAAATCAAACAGACATAATCAGTCAATAGATATAATCAATGAATCATCGGCACCTCGAAAACACAAATTTTTCATATCCTAATCGGGATATAGATTCTTTTGATATCTCAATTGGGATATCGAATTATATCCTGATCTAGATATAGTTTCGGGATATCAAAAAATTTTGCTGTAAAAAATGATATCCCGATTGAGAGTACTTCCCGATCAGGATGTGTCTCCACACTGACATGGCATGATGATTCATTTAGGCTATTATTTTGTTGAAGATCCATCGAAATTAGAAAATTTCAGTAAAAAGTGTGGTAGACCTAAAAAGGCATGTTTTGCATTAATGAAATAAACATTTTTGTGGAAAAAGTTGTTATTTTTTCTTTGAATATGTGATCTTTTACAGTATAATGATATGCTCAGTAATTGAGAAAATAGTAAAAATTAAATATTTTTAATTCAAAATGCATTCTCTTTTCTATCTCAATTAATTTGCGTTCTCCAAAAAATTCAAAACATTCTCTTTTTAATCTAATTGTGTTCTCGTTTACAGTCTTGTCCTGGTTTTTGTTCCCAAAATTGGTTTGATTATTTTAACAGAAAAAAAACTTTACGTTAGGCTGTTCTACACGAACTGTTTCAGTTTTTCGTGTAACAGTCTTTGATTATCAATCCATGTAGATAAAAAATCAAATCTTTATGCGTCAAAACGTAAACCAAACACCATTGTATTTAGAAAACCCATCTCTTTGTGCTTTTTAAGCCGTAAGCCCAAAGAAGTGAGGTTCCTGAATTCAATAGATTTTGCTTTGCGTCATGATGCATCGATGTTACTTGCTGTTTCAAAGTCCTTATCCATTTTAACTAGGCATGCAACAGTTTTTTAAAAGTTTGGTTTCGTGTTTCTCAAAAAAGGTTTTGTATTTTCGCAACAGCGAACTGTGTAATTTTCTGAAATCAGCAGTCTTGTAGAGCAAACATTTCTCTATTGCGAAAATACAAATCATTTTTTGAAAAATACGACAAAAAAACTGCTGTATGCCTCATTTTAACGCATAACTGTAATAAATCACTACTACAGGACAGTTTCCATCATTGTGGAAAACGGACCACGGTGGGCAATTTTGACTAGGCACATGGACATATCCTATGGAAGCAGTATGAAAGCCTACGTACACTCTTCTTATAGATTTTCAGATGTGCTCTTTTCAATGATGCGAGTTGCAAAGTTCTAAAATATTTATATATGGATTTTCAGATATTCGAGTTTGTGGAAACCCTGATAAAAAGCATTTTAGAACTTTACAAACCACACCATTAAAAAGAGCACATCTGAAAACCTACAAGAAGAGCGTTCATAGGCTTTTGCGCTTCTATGGGGTATGTCCATGTGCTTAGCCAAAAAGAGCCACGGCTAGTGCTTCAACACTAGCATTCTGTTATATAGAACAATTTGTTTTCTCAGAAAAACCTAAAAATCACCCATTATTTGATATAGTTTTCGGCTCTGACATGAGTCCAAATATCTCATTATTTTTTAATAAAAGCATTTGCGTACCGAGAAAAACGGAAAATATCTCATAAGTCATTGCATCATCTACAGATGGTGTGCCTCATCCAACAAAATCCGAGTTAAAAACATTCTGTTTTAACTGTACAATAAAAACAGCGGTTAAAGAATATTCTGTTTTAAACACATACCTAGATAGATTGACATCTGCTCTAAGACCCTACTCAAATCCTAGGTCTCTATCTGTCCTCGTTCATATATGCTGGGGCTTTTCCAGAGGCAACCTTGTCCGGTAACTCCAGCGTTCTGCAGTCTAGGAAGCTTAAAAACAATTAGAAATTAGGTTGTGCAGTATACACTTTAATGTAGAAATGAAAATTCTCCTTGTTCATCTGAAATAGGCATGCAAAGCTTTCATGGAACTTTTTCAACTAATGCTGTCGATTAGAGAATGACGATGATACACTGAAGAAATATAAGGCACTATTGGTGCTACAACTACATACAGACAGAAATTTTCCTCAAACTTTCCATACAATACTATAATGTTATTCTCACAACTTTTGTATGTCCTAAGTATTATTCGAAGATACTCGCAATATTTGCAGCCCCAAATATTTTCTATTACTATAACAACGGCAAAACACAATTACAGGAATCAAGAAATAAATATTGTGGAAATGTCTATAAAAACTAAAATCGCTTTAATACGTATTTTGAAAATTGACAGTCTAAACTAAATCTCAAATGAATAAACTACATAATATTTTCATAAAACAGTAGTACTTTCTTGCTCATTTGTTGCTGGAAATTGAAAGTCAATTGGTTTTGTTAGTTGAAACGGTTTTACTGGTATCTTAGTGGTGATTTTAGGATAAACAAAACTATCTGTATTGATTACGATAGCTGCTGCTATTTCTTGTAGTGAGCTTACCCGCTGGACAACCGGTGTGCTCTGTTTGTTCTCTGGAAATGAATGATTCGAAGATTCATTTTTTTTCAAGTGGAACTTCGGTTCTTTGAATGAATATGAACGTTGAGGTTGTGTGGTACATTTTTTTAATTGTTGTTCATAAACGAAAATTTCGTTCCATTTTGGTGGTAACAATTCGTTCATGTCACGATACGGTGACAATTGTTCATTAGTTACGCCATATGGTATATATCGACTCAAATCAACTTGCTGTGTTTCTGCTGAAAATTGTACAAGATCTCTAGCCATTGTTTGTACTTTTTCACGTGAATTTGGACTTGCCAATTCATAATCATTTCTGTTAAATACATCTAAACCATATCCCTTCGCAAACGACTGCAAACGATACAATTTACGTCTGGCACTGTTATTCATCTGTCGCTGAAAATAATCAATATTATTCTCAGTGTCATTTACTTTAGTAAATCCATCATCACCATTCAATGTATGATCATTTTTCGACTTTGCCATTTCATTTTGTTCTTGTATTTGTTGTAGACCCGCTGATGACAATGACCTTAATGTTTTCCATTTATTGGCAATTGTCTGAGCCAATTGGTTTGTACTATCCCTTCTCTCTTCCTGAAGTATTGTTTTATTATAATCACGCGCTATTTTAAAACAGATAAAACAGGATGCATCCTCGAGTCAAAGTGTACATGAGCGATGCTAGTCTAACTTTGCAAAGAAAGGTCATACAGAGTTGGGAGATATCTCGTTTTAATCAGAAATTTGCGGGCTACGATCACGCCTCATTAAGAAAGGTTTTTGTTACTTTTTAGAGTTTCTGAAAAACTGATTTTCTGGAAATCCGGTCTCTGGAGGCCTGAGAACCCAAGTGGATGTCATATCCGGATTCAGCATGGTTAATTACCTATTGTCTACTAAATTTCGAAAAAAAAGCGATTGCACACTTGGGAACCTTTCCTCGTAAGATCTCATTCTTATCGCCTATCGTACAGTGACTGAAAGCGGAACCAGTTTGCACAAAAATATCAAATATTATGGCGCTACTGGCGACTCGTCAGCATCGAAACCCTCGCAAATAAGATGATTCGATTAATTGGCAATCATTATTTTTCTCTAACCTTGTACAAGCAACATTTCATTTTATTTGTAGTATTTCTACTAGACTACCCAGATCTACAGCCGTTTCCGGTTCAACGATATTTTTATAAAGACTCAGTTACAAAAAAAAACGAGCCTCAAAGGCTATGATTTTTTTCTCACAAACATAACGAGATATACGTAATGGAAATAGTCAGCTTTGTTTACTTTTTTTTCTTGTAAACTTTAACTCTCATCTCTCCAGTTCAATGGCCAGTGAAACCGGGTTGCCCCATTGCATGTATGCCCAAAAGTACCGAGACAAGGAGCATTAGGTAGCTTGTCCAAGACTATCACGCGACCGCCATTGCCGGGATTCGGACTCCGTTTCTTTGAAGTAAGTTGTCTGCTCACTAGTCGACTGAGCCAAGCTGCTCTTAAGTTTTTTCTCTTTTGTTTATCTTTCATTTTGCTGAAAACCCATCCTAGTCAAGAGTAGCCTGTCGCAGAATCCCCAGATCTTAGACGCTTCTCGTTTCTAAGACATTTCGGAATTACTGAAGCGAAACATTCATTTTGTTCATCCGAACCTCAGAAGACTTAGAACCAGAGCACAAACTGAAATTCATTCTTAGTGCATTTCCCTTAGGTAGCGTAGTGTAGTATATTTTGATGAGGAGATGATTCACTTCCAGTTTGTCTTACAAAGGAAAACCACTAGTATGGAGCTCCTGACTTCATCATACCAATACAGCGTGCTCTCTATTCGATAATTTAATATACCTATTTTGACATCGTGATGAAAAAACTGTGCTATATCATCATTGATTTGAGGCAATGGAACGACTTCTTTTATTCTTAATATAATTAATGCCATTGTTATTATACAGAGTATATTGACAATTGTTAACAGAAAACTGCAAGCACCAAGTATTCCTGCTTCAGTTGCCAGGTTACAACTGTACAGTGGATTGTAATTATTGTTCACATACTTTTCACAATTTGCCATTATACTCTGTGGCTGTGATAAGTTTTTAAAGTGAAATTGCTGTTGGTTAGGATCATCATCGTTACGGGTGCCACTGTGGATTGCTGCGACACTAGGAAATGAAGCTCCTAATAGCGCATAGGCAAATAATAGACCACAATTCACAGCAGGTGGAAGCAACGACGCCGATATGGCAACACCAACAAGTGAACCTAGAAAAGAAAAACAGATTTAAAATGCCACTAGAATATAATAATTACTTACCGGTATTGCCTCCTAACACAGAAAGTGCTACACCTGCACCAGAGGGAAGTGCGATCAATACACCTACCCATAGTCGTTTAACATCACCTCGTGATCGCATCTCAGTGGTTGGAAATGTGGAAGAGCTTCCCCACTTTGTCTCTGCAAATGTTGTAAACAGACTATAAAAAGTAGAGAAAAATTCCTTTTGCAATTTATATAAACCTTCGCACACTCTTACCCCAATACAAAGCCGGAAGCTAAACAAATGATTAGACCAATAATTTCATTCCACAAACCTCGTTTCCACAACGAGTGCTCTCTCACAGATAATCCGAACGCAATTCCAAGAATAGGATTCATCAACGGACTGACAAGCATACTTGCGACAATAATAACCGTACTATTTTCTAAAAGACCAAAGGCAGCAAGCATACTTGCAAGCACTAATAAAACAACAAAATCAAATGTCAGTTCTGTTGAAGCTCGAATGGCCGCTACCACTTGGTGCACCATTAAACGAGCACGAACAGATTTTTTAAAATCAGACTCATTGATTTTATTTTTTATTCTTCGTTTTAATGTCAAGCCACTTTCCTGGGAACCTGTCGTTCCAATTTCTCGATTTAGAATAGAGAATTTACTGCCATCATTTGTAATTGCATGATGTTTGTCATCTTGTTGATTTAATAGTTGAACGTCTGGTTCTGTGCCGATGATACACGTTGACGGTACAATAAGAATTTTCGTCCCCTGTTTGACACCAATCCGAAATTTTCTCAATTCTTGCAATATCTCATCACATACAAGGCCAAATTCAACATAAAAGGTTATCTGGTAGGTTTTCTTGTCATCCGAAATCATCCAGACAGCATCGATATCTACCTTTTGTTCGAGATAAATTTTTAAACAGCGACATAATGAATGCTCTCGAGAAGTTGAGGGCCGCGGTAGTTGTGATGATGGTCCTGACATGTTTGCAATGTACAATTCTTCACTCGTCATTTCCTCCAATGGAACAGGAGAGACGGTTACGGAAGGAACGGTCAATGAGCCAGGGATAACAAGAGCCGTCCTTGCTGGAATATCAGTTACTAACTGCTACAAAAGAAAGATACTTCCATAATAGTTCTCTACTGGCGAATGGTGTGCATACCGGTTTTCCTTCATTATTCCTTCCATTGTCAACAGCTGTAAGTAATGTTTGGGTCGTTTCATTGGCAATATCGTTTGGAACAATAATAATGAATAATGCGCAGTCAGACATTTTTATTTCAAGGTCACTCTCACACTTTTACTTATGAGACATCAATCTACTCATGACTTTATACGTCTTCTTTGGTTTGAATGAATCAATGAACTCTTTTTTCTTTTCCATTCTTTATTTTATTTCTTTTCTGTTCTTTTTCATCTATTGTTCTTCTTGCTTGCATATCATGGTAAAATAATTAATGTGAATGTTGGAAATAAAAATAGGCTTTTTGAATTGTTCACTCTTTTGATTATTGCGAAGGTATTTTACTGAAAAGTTAGAAAGCTTTTTACATTATTCAGCGAAGAAAGTGTCTAAATTTCAGGGATGATCTTGCAAAGCAACATCGCTTTAGGGGAAAACTTTAATATAGAAAATAATCAATACAAGCTGGGCTACGACATAGCAATGGTTTTTTGACGATGATAGGTGGGCTAAAACGTCCATGTCTATATTCCGCGATTAATCAATACTTGAATACCTACGAAACAATTTTCCGAAAGACTTTGTGAAGGCGTATCCCAGACTGTGTTGAGCATTTTCTATTTTAAAATTTTTCTCTAAAGCGAAGTTGCATCGCAAGATTATCCCTGTTTTGTACCAAACCGTTTTTACAGGCATTTTATTTTATTAGTATCAGCCGAAAACATGTATCTAGTAAATGTATCATAAATAAAAACTGAATCAATTGAATGCATTCTATCGGAGGCTATTTAGTCATTTTAGAAGGCAACTAAAATAGGAGAAAATTTAATGTATTTTAGACACTTCTTCGTGGAATAGTGTAAAAAGTTTTCTAACTTTTCAGTAAAATAACTTCGCAATAATCAAAAGAGCGAACAATTCTAAAAGCCCAAAACTAGACATAATGTGCCGTTGAGTTTCTCAAACGATATTTGAGGCAGACTATCGACAGGCTGCAAAATTAAGATATCTCTCAACTCTCTATGACGTTTTTTCAACGAAGTCGGTTCAAAGAGTCAAAATCACCTACGGTAAAATGGCCAAAATATGCCTTTGTGGCCTTCGACTGCACTTCGTTGAAAAAACATCACAAAGAGCTGAACATATCCTAGAAACCCAAAACAAAGGGTATCCTATAATTATGAAACACCCTGTACAAGAAGATGTTTCTGTTAGTTCTATGTTATAAACTATTGTACTTTTTCAGATACATTGGAATTTTCTCGTAGCATCTTAGATGCTCATGTAAAGGTAAATAACGAGAATTCACTTTCACCGATAGATTCGGGTGCTTCTTTTCTTGTCTCGTAACTAAATTTTTTATTATGTTAAATTTTATCAATCGAAGTTATGTGGAGAATGTCAAGATATATGTTGTATACCTAGGTGAAACTGAATCGCGCAAGAACATATAAATTTGAGATGTCTAATATGGAATACGAGCCCAACGATAAGTACCTTGAACGATAGTCATCCAATATGTCTTTCTATTTTCTTGTTTTGATTTTTACATTATCTTCTCAATTTAAAGAACAAAAAAGAATAATAATAATCATTTGTGTCAGTAAATATTTGAGTAGAAAAGTAGTTTTGTCGTTTTCACACAAAAATGCCATTTCTAATCAATTTTTTTATTTGATTTCAACAGTAAAATTACAAATATCGATATTTGTTAAATAATTAAGATATTTAACAAAAATGAAAATGCATTTTGCAAATCCAGGAATACACATACCTCTAGACAACATTAATCATTAAAACAAAGCGTGAGGAATCTGGGGGTATGACTGTATACATCGCGTATATTTTGAATATTTTTTCGAGTAGTGCTAATGTGTCTGGATAAAAACCTAGGTCTTCACAAATCCACAGAGATGCTGTTCCATCTCTGGTATAAATTTGAGCCGAATCGAACGTGGAGGTGGAGGAGATGTAAGCACTGTACAACTTCGCTCAATTTAATCTCACTTGAGTTTATATTAGAGTTTTAATGTAATTTATTGTCCTCAAGAACTTGGCTAGGGGAAAACTAAATAAAAATTAGGTCTGAACTAGACTACAGAAAATGTATATTATGATCGAAAATGAAAGTTGGTTCCACATCGACTTTTGTGGCTAGTGAAGCAATTAAAATTGATCTAAGGTTGGAAACTATTGTTAAAAATTATTGTTTTCGGCCAGAAAAGAATAATTGTCAAGAATTTTGATTTGAATCTTTCAACCTCTTCTATATAATTTATGCGCTTATAGGTCGTTCAATTTATTTTGAAACGATATGCATGCAGTTTATCTTTACAAATCGTTTCAGAAAAAATACTTTTTACTATACCAAACGATAGACATTTTAATTCTCTACAAGATTGTATATTCATTTTTAAGATTCATCTTTTGATGCTTGGCACAGTATATCTAACAGGAAAAGCTCCACTTTTTTTAACTGCACCACAAAGTTTTAAAGTGCAAACTGCTATCTTTTTTTAATTGCGTGTAATGAGTACAAAAGGATCTAAAATAATTTTATTTATAAGATTCCGCAAGATAGTTCCAAGAATAAGATAAGTATAAGAGTCGTATTCGATTTACATCAGATATTGATAAGGAATCCATAAGACCTGGCGAAAAGTCGTGACTTTCTCTTATTAGATCCTTATTGATATCCAGGCTCCTGATAAGATTCTTGTAAGATTCTGATAAGATTCTGATAAGATTTCGTTAAAACAGATTTTATAATTAGCTGCTAGTAACAACTCGTTAAAATGTTTTTCGACGATACATTCTCGGTCGCGATCAATTATGAAACTCGTTTCTCTGACCACTTACTATTGAATGATGAGTCATGGAAGTAGCGGTACAGGAAGTTCTTTTATGACTCCTTCTAGTGCTTTATTAAGACAGGTATGAAAGGAGTTTTGATGCATATTAATAGTACTGAAATTGCTCTGTCTTCTACGGCTTAGAGAGTCCGAATTGAATGCCATCTTTATAGAGAAAAAAGGATCGCAAATGATGCCTTTTTCTAGAGATCCGTTTGAAAAAGCGAAATTTATGCGATTGTGTGAGATATCGTGCTCTGTGATCTTCTGTAACATAGTTTTTCGAAGTTTATTCTTTATTTAGTCACGATAAATTTAGAGAAGTTATTCCGGTTTACAAGCAGTAGACCATAAGGATGCGTCTTTAGACTGCCCTTTAGGACTAAAGTTTTTATTATGGAACAGAAAAGTAACAGTATATCATAGTAAGAAAGTAGAATGCAGAGTACTTGACTTACAAATATCTTATATAATAATTCTATAAATTCTTAGACTATTCTTATATGAGTCTTATCGGATACTTCATTGAGGCAAAAAAATTCTTCTGCTAGGAAAAATCGAGGATTGATTTTTAATTTTTTTTTGGGGGAGGGGAGTGTTGCTAGTATCTGAATTTCTCTAAAGGACGTTTCAAATATATGCCGGTCGATTGTTTCGTAAATCTATTCTAAATTTAGTTTCTTTTATAGATATACCTCAAAGTACAATTCAAGCAGAAACACCGATAAGCTCAAATTTTTACATGAAAATATCACCTCTGTCATTTTCTATACTTTTCTCTAACAAACATAATTCCTTGTACAACTTTTCTCACCGATAAGATCAAGATTTTAATGACAAAAATATTCAATCACATTTTTTTTTGTTTCTCATGTCAAAACAAATAGAATGCGATGCAGAAATTTTTAGTACTGAATTATTGATGTTTCGATAAGAAAAGCTGTATGTGCAATCATGTTTTATTAGAGAAAAGTATATAAAATGGAATAGAATAAATTCTACTTTATCTGTTATTCGATGTTCGAATATATTGCCTATATAGGTCTAAAAGAAAAAAAGAAGACTAAATGCGCACGGCGAACGTAGAAAAGAAAGAAGAGAAATAGAAAACGTATAACAGAAAAGTCTTATTATTGTTTTCATAAATCTTATCTGTCGAAACTTGAAAATCGTTTGGTTGCTTATTGTATTTCGTTGGGACCGAAATGAAAGCCGAAAAGTCATGATAGTCAAAAGCAGGTAAGCAGATCGCTAAATACGAAACAAAAATTTATATTCTCAAATAAGAATTAGCGATATTGAGAGCCGAATATATCATAAACTAAAAGCGATTCTTCATATTTTCTAAAAAATAGATCCGTATAGTGTACAACTTGTGTACTTCAAACTAGTATAAAAAGTGGAAAAGGATCTTCTTTAATTAATATAATTTTAGCTTGCGAAGTTGCCAGAAGCATCCACCTAGAGTACCGAGCTATCTTGGAAATCGAACCTTCTTAGCCGAACTCGTGTGTAGTTGCGACAGTATGCTTTAAATAAATCTTTTTCTAACTACAAATAGAATTCTTCTTCGACTATCTTCGATCTTAGAAACATTATGTTCTCAATTTTAGGAACTTAGAGAACTTTACGCCCCGAGGCTCGTGAAATCAACCTGTGTTTGAATTTCTGAAATAGAGGAACAGGCATTTAATGTAAGTCAAAAAACTGACGCGTTTTCATTTGAGACTTTTATGATTCAATTACCTCACTTCTCAACAAACCTTAGCAGATAAAATAATGTTACAGATCCGTACAGAACTACATAAAAAAATTTAACTGCATAAAAACACGCTCAAATAACCACTACATTTTTCTGCATGTTGAATCCTGTTTGATCATCTCACTTATATTTTTGTCCATGCCCTGGCTAAAACGCTACTAATTCATAGTTACGGCACTATTATATTTTTTCAAGATTTACAGATAATTGGGTAGAGGAGAGGGAGCTGCATCTGAAAATCACCCCTAACACCTTCCCAGACTTTTCCTTCATGGTGAAAAACGAAAAATACCGGAAGGATCCTAAAATCGGGAAAATTTGTTCTTCGAGAAAAACGACAATAGTTTTTTCTCATAGTATCTTGGAGTTTTAAAACATCTTTTTCTGAATCAGCATTGCAAACTGCATATGAAAATGTGATTTTGCAGTGTTTTCGCATATTACGAAGTCGGTGTGAAAAAATTCGTTTCCAGGGGAACACAAAAACGTGCCCGCCTCTCCACTGCTCAAAAAAGCATCAAGTCTCTTGCCTTAAATGATGAAGCCTTGTTTCACATGACATTCGAACCGCCTTGAAGCGGAGAACAAAATTATAGCTGCAGATCTTTGATTTTTTCCTTTCCTGGCCTCAAGAACTGTTTTTCTGTAAAATCGGTTTTTTTAGAAACTCTAAAAAGTAACCAAAACCTTTCTTAATGAGGCATGATTGTAGCCCGCAAAGTTCTGTTTAAAATGAGGCATCTGCCAGCTCTACACGATGTTTCTTTACAAAGTTATAGAATTTACAAGAAATGTCGCAGATGTTCATTATCAGCTGAATGCTAGGGAATAAGAAGAAATGAATGCACGGCTTTTCTTGTAAAATTCTATAACTTTGTAAAGAAAGTTCTTGTAGAGCTGGGAGATGTCTCATTTTAATCAAAACTTTGCGAGCTACAATTTCACCTCATCAAGAAAGGTTTTGATTAGTTTTTAAATTTTCTCAGAAACCGGTTTGACAGAAAACCAGCCTCTTGAGGCCAGACAAGGAAAAAATCAAAAATCTGCAGCTATAACTTTGTTCTCGGCTTAAAGGCGATTCGAATGCCGTGCGAAAGAAGGCTTCGTCTCTTCAGACAAGAAACTTGAAACCTGTGTGGTTTCAACCTATCTCTCGGTTGGTTTTGGCGTGACATGATGGGACGGCACCCAGCGACGTCAAAAAGATCTTAATTCTGTGTCCTATACAGCGTTTTATCATGGTCGGACTTGACTAGCACAAAACAGAAGGAATCTCAACAAAAGACTTTTCGATTAAGTAATCTTTTTGCCTCGTGAAAAATAGTTTCGCGCCAATGAGTTGATGTGGTAAACTTCTGATATGATTCAAAGAGTAATTGGTACCTTAAGGCAGGCGTTTCTTTTTTTGTATATTGCTTTAACGCGTCTTTAACGATATTTCAATCGTACAAATCATCGAGGAAAGCAGAAGTTTTAGGCATTGTTAAAAATAAAGTTCATCCACTGTACAGTGTTGCAGAGTATAGCGCAAAAGGAGAAGCTGCAGTCAGAGTCAATCTGATTGACTCAATCAGTAGTCGTTTTAAATTGACTTCTACAGTTTTCATCGTCATATTCTTCCTGCTACACTTTACTATAGTCAGAAATTATTACCTGAGATTATAACTGTACTTTTTGTTCGATAAAAATTAATTTTTGTGTGCGCCACACTGCAGATATATCATTCTCATATCTTCGAAAAGTCAGTTCAATTTATTTGAACCAAAATTTTTTAGATATGTCAGACACTGTAGATCTGATATTAAATTTAAATACAATATCAACAGAATTAGTACGATATCTATCCATATGTATACTTCTATGTGGAACAACTGGCAACGTATTGAACCTAATTGTATTTTTTCAACCTTCACTGCGTTCAAATCCATGTTCAATTTACTTTTTCTCATCGTCAATATCAAGTTTATTAGCACTTTACTCTGGACTTATAACACGTATATTAGGCACTTATCAATTTGATCCAACGAATGAATCTTCTGTACAGTGCAAAATACGAAGTTTTTTATTAGTTTCTTCGTTTACAACATCAACGTGGTTAATTGCACTAGCATCAGTTGATCGTTATTTTATTAGTTGTCAAAATATTCAACGTCGCCGTTTAAGTAGTTTAAAAGTTGCCTATTATCTGATCGGAATTCTAACAGTTTTCTCAACATTAATTTATGCTGAAGTGTTTTATTGTTTTGAAGGAAATCTCCTCAGTCCACCATCGCCATTACCGTGCTATTCCAAAAATTATCCATGTCGATTATATAATGATTTAACATTTGCTATTATATTTGTACTAACACCTTGTTTATTAATGTTCATATTTGGCTATTTAACAATATTAAATATTAGAAAATTACACCGAGCAGTTGGACCTGCTACTCGGAATCATAATAATAATAATCATAAAGATACTAAAAACATTAAAAAATCTGATAGACAATTAATACAAATGTTGTTGGTACACGTTCTGTTATTAACAATGCTTGCATCACCAACAGCAGTTCAACGTTTATATGCAACATTTACAATAAACATAGTTAAAAGTCAACTATCATTAACGATCGAAAACTTTATATATCAATTGTTTCTTTTATTTACATTTATCAGTATGAGTATGCCATTTTATTTATATTTATTAACTGGTACACTATTTAGACAAACTCTGCTTGCTCTATTTTATAAAGTGAATCGTACAATTATGAACGAGTTTTCAATAACAAATATCAGATAAAATACTGTTAAACAGAACAAATAATTCATCTTTTTCATTCACCAAACATTCAAGAAAGAGAGAACAATATCCTGCTATTAGGCTCTGTTTAACGCTGAACCGGTTTTTAAAAGCTTCATCTCATGATACATTTTATAATATACTCACTAGAACGAACTGGGTGATTTTTTTTCTCGAAAGTGTACCACAATTACATCGACTTTATCCGAATTGTTCGAGAGTAACAGGACTAGTACAACTTGGGCTCCTGATGACGAATATCGCGTTTAAAAGATTCTAAAACAACGACACGGTCGTCATCTAGACCTGTTGGAACCGCATTTTCCAGCAGAACAGACCTTTTGTGGGCATATTCACTATTTTTTAGTGAAACATTTTCATGAGGTAATACCGTCAGATTAGATTTTATATGTGCAGAGGTACCAAATCACTAACGGACAAAAAGTTACAAAATGTTAAGTGGGTATTTGTAAACTACGCTACCACCCACAACCACCCCCAAACTAGCTTTTAATTACATGGTTGGATAGAGGATGCTGAGTTGTCTTCGCAACCACCCATTTTTAATAGCGGTTTGTCGCAGAGAGTTCATTCTTTTTTGGTTTAAAAGTGGAAAAGAAACTGCATGGACTGTTCGGCGTCGATTTTTGAATTAGGTCTTGGTCTTATGTTAAACTGAGAATTTTTAGATAATCCAAAAGGCATTTTCGGGTTTTGGAGATTGTTGGTTGCCTGGAAAAGCAAAAATCAGCGCCGGTGAGTCCATGTAGTTAAGTGTCTAGTTTAAAATAAAACAAACCCGAACTCTCCAGCTTGAAGTATATTAAAAAAACTTGGGACACACTTCAGAGTCCTTTTTGGACCTTGATCTCTGGAAAACTCCTAAGCCGTAAGACTTGGAGACAAAAAAACTTTTTCATTTCAGTAACTCATTGCGCCTAACATTTATGGGAAGCTTCATCAAGGTCGGATGTACGGTGTCGGAAATAATTTCTGAGAGAGGAGGACCCTTAAGTCAATTATCTGAACTGAAACCAATATCGCAATAGTACAGGATGGCGGCAGATGGCAATATCAGATAACAAATATTTTTATCATGATATACGTCACTTTGTCATGATAGTCTGCTGTCTACACGTCGTGCAATAAGTATTGTTGCCTGTTATGCGACGATAGACGAGTTAGTCCTTACAAAATGATCTGAATGGCAATAAAAAGAATATATAGTGAAAGTCTATTGTGATAGCACTTCATAACATCTTTATGGAGATAATAGTTGGGGTTTGTGCAGCTAATGGCTGAATCTCAATAGATGGTAGAGAGTGATAGCATCCATACCACTGTTTGAATCTTCTTTAATTAACGTATTTCCTCTTACTGCATCGAAAGCCCCACTAGCGGATTTACAATTTAGTGCGGCGGCACCCACTGAAATCAGAAATTTTCGCTTTTCGTCGGCAAAAAAGATGTTTTTAATTGCTATCAACATTCATCAGAATTCTTTTGTATTATGTGACTCCCGCCTTAAACAGTTTCTAGATTCGCCAAGGATAGATCCTTGTACTTTCCAGATATAGAAAAGAATTTCCAGTCGAAGGCTTATGAATTATAGTTGAACGTTACTACTATCGGAATTTTTAAAGAAGGCCGGTGGAAGAAAAGCTTATAACGTTTGAATGGAAAGTCGTAGATACCTGCGGTTTTCACCATTCAATAGATGACAGTCGGGGGCACATGCCAGCATGGAAAAGTGATATTTCCAGGTACTTTTTCAGACCAGTTTTCGTCTACGAAATTAAGGGCAAATTATTGAATCTTTTCGATGGAATTTTTTTAGCTAGGTTTGCACCATGACATGCCCTCTTCACATTGGTATCTAAGCAATTTCTAGATTTCGTCTCCTTGAAAGACCCGAAGTCTTATAAAAGACGAATTTCACATGGGACATTTTTCGCTGACAAACAAAAAATTACTCCGAAGATGGGTTTTCGATGATGCTAATCAACAAGAAAGGGTTTATTTGGTTATTGAATTGTAGTTACATGTAGAGCTCATGTGCACTAGCACATGAAAGTGCTTATTTTCGAGCTCCTTTGATAAGCAAAATCTGCGTTCCTTACGGTCTACTTGATTCTATC